TAAGATGGACCGGAAATATTGTTTGGCTCTGTTATCGATAATTACTCGGCAACAGCCGATGGTAATGTTTTCAGTAGTACCAAAACTATTTACAGATCCTGTCAAAAGATTCCGTCACAGTAGCTGTTGATGCAGTCGTATATTTCCGCATCTCCAATGCGACTATCTCAGTGCGTTTAATTTGGTGTTGTTGCGAGTTTCCTTCCTTCATTTGTGTCAGCTGCATATGCCTCAGGCTATTTTCATTATTATACTCAATTTTTCAAAAGAGCTAATGAACACCAGAAGCCATTTTTTTGCCAAGATGCATGTTCATTTTTTGGGAACTTTTCTCAGTCTCTTAGAGTGTATGTTATTTCTTTCATTCCAACATATGACACGAACTCGATTCGTAAGATATATAATGCTTCAACCTTTAAAGGAAATACGTAGAATTGTCTGCTGCTTGATATTTGAGAAAATTGTTTTGCAGAATGTGCGACCATGTAAGCATCTCATAATTAGACGTATCTATTATGTATTACTTCTTCGTCGATGTAAACGAAGGATAGGTTGCAGCCGTGATGTTGTAACTAACGTTGATTATGAGACGTACCATATACCACATAAGCTGGTTGCTGTTTGTTCTTAAGTACCCTTGTGGAAACGCTGTCGCTTAGCTGTTATTTTCCCTAAATTGACGCGTAGACATGGCTTCCGTATTATTTAACCTATCAGAGCTAAACTTGACAAAACTTTTCATCTAAACATATAATTCAGGCATCAACAGCCAAACAAATGAAGAGTGAAAAATTTGCATCAGCCTGTCTTCTTTCTTCAATGTTTTTTTGAAGATAGATAAAATTCAGTTTTGATTAAGTTTAGGTAACAAACGTGGAGGATGCTTCACGGTCAACAAAGTTGTTAGCACAGACTACACTTCGGAACATCCTTGGAACCAGGACATTAGCGGAAATGTTGTCGGATAGGGAAGCAATTTCTCATCAAATGCAGGTGCGAGCAAGGTGTCCATTTATTCCTTATAGAAGTGGATGCTTTTGGAGAAACAAAACAATTTTAGCATAAAAATGGTATCATATCTAGTATGACATACCCTTTTGTCGAAATATGTTCAACTGATTCTCTTCTAGTGCACTCTTGACGAAGCCACGGATCCTTGGGGGGTCAAAGTGGAGAGGGTGGAAGTGAAGGACGTCCGGCTTCCAGTGCAGCTCCAACGTGCCATGGCTGCAGAAGCTGAGGCGACCAGAGAGGCCGGAGCGAAGGTTGAATTGATCGAAAAACTTCAAATATCACTGACTTTTACGCTAATGTCATCTGCTAATCCGTTCAGGTCATTGCTGCTGAAGGAGAACAGAAGGCGTCCCAAGCGCTTCGCGAGGCAGCTGAGGTGGTATGTTTGATATTTTCGACAACTGATGTTCAACTTAATGAAATAGAATGTTTCAA